TTCACCACTTTTGGTATATTGCGCATATGTATCCCTCGAAGAATCCGCACCAATTCCAACAAAACGCAATAACGTCATTCAAGTCCCAATTTGATACATTGTTCAAAATTTCATGTTAATCGGACAAACATTAGGAGTTTGGAGCGCCATTTATGTAAAATGTGGAATATATATATGAATATGTGGGATCTACATAGAAATCTGAACCGAGCTAAAACTTACCACACATCATTCTCGACACAATTTAGTACGCTATGACAAATTTCGTGCAAATCCAAGGATATATAGGGACTTTGGTGTACCATTTATATAAAATCGGACGAAGATATATATGGGAGCTATATCTAAAGCTGAACCGATTTTCACTAAACTTAATACACATCATTCTAGGCACAATTCAGTACGCTATGCCAAATTTCGTGCATATCGAAGGTTATATAATACTGTGGTCCACTATTTACATAAAATCGGACGAAAATATATATGGGAGCTATATCTAAATCTGAACCGATTTTCACTAAACTTAATACACATCATTCTAGGCACAATTCAGTACGCTATGCCAAATTTTGTGCAAATCGAAGGATATATAGGGACTTTGGTGCGCTATTTACCTAAAATCGGACGAAAATATATATCCAAATCTGAACCGATTTTCACGAAATTTTACACACATCGTTCTAGACTTAATTCAGTACGCTATGCCAAATTTCGTACAAATCGAAAGACTTTTGTGCGCTATTTACCTAAAATCGAACGAAAATATATATGGGAGACTATATCCAAATCTGAACCGATTTTCACGAAATTTTACACACATCGTTCTAGACTTAATTCAGTACGCTATGCCCAATTTTGTGCAAATCGAATGATATATAGGGACTTTGGTGCGCTATTTACCTAAAATCGGACGAAAATATATATGGGAGACTATATCCAAATCTGAACCGATTTTCACGAAATTTTACACACATCGTTCTAGACTTAAGTCAGTACGCTATGCCAAATTTCGTACAAATCGAAGGATATATGGGGACTTTGGTGCGCTATTTACCTAAGATCGAACGAAAATATATATGGGAGACTATATCCAAATCTGAACCGATTTTCACACATCGTTCTAGACTGTGTCAAATTTCATCCAATTCGGATCATAAATGCGACTTGTACTTTGTTTACAATTTAACATGGACAGACAGACGGACATGCATAAATCGACTTAGAAAGTGATTCTATGAATATTCTCGAAAGGAACCATGTGTCTATCTCGTTTCCTTTTGCCTGTTACAAACATGTGCACAAAGGCATAATACCCCGTACCACAGTGTGGTGAAGGGTATAAAAAACATTAGGGATCTTCATTGCCCAGAACCGGTCCTACAGGCAAAATTTCGTGAAGATTGGTCCATAATTGTATCCTGTATCGTGTTTACAAATAATAATGGACAGACGGACGGACACACGTGTCTAGATCGACTCAGCTAGTCTGCACAAAGCTATAATACCCTGACAACATAGTTTTGTGGGGTATAATTAAATATGCCATTTCTTTTAACTTATTTGTGTTAATGGAGCAGTTGATTAAAAATTTACAGTCAGTGGAAGACAATTCTGAAGAAAACCCCATAAGAAGAGGAGAAAGGTTGGACTGGGTTGACTATATGATATTATACACCACTTTGGGAATATGCAACAGATTTTTCTACGATTATCTTAATAACATAACATAACATGCTTCAAATGCTTCAATATAATGTATTTGGTTGTATGTGTACACTCGATACAGTCAATAGGATCGTCTATGGAGAATCATTTGCAAACATATGACGAAATTATTTACACACATGTAGAACAGAGGGCCTCTGTAATAAAATAATAAGAAATCGGATAAAGTTAGATAGTTAAAAGCATCATGTAAATCTGAATCGACATAATGCAAATTTTACGCACGTCATTCGGTATTGGAACATTGTGCAAAATTTAATCGGGTCAATCGATCACACGGAGGTAAATTATTTACAGTAAATCGACGACAATATATATGACAGCTATCTGGGATTAAATTGCCGAATGGTATGTGTATGGGTTGAATTTTCGCAGACATATTTGATATGTAGGTCCAAGTTTTGTCTTAACCCCCACATAAAGGTCTCGCCCAATTTTCCGTATTTAGGATAGGATTAAGTACCATTTCCCCACCGCCAAAGTAGCTGAAACTTGGAATTTAGACTTCTTGTAGAGTGCGAAACATATTTGTCGAAAATTTCCAATATCGGTACGTGTTTGGACATAGCTTCCATATAAGTGTCCCACTTTATGTTTTATGTTATAGTCGCCTTTTTCTACCAAAGGGCTTTAATTAGGTATACCAGGTGCTGAATGTATATACCAGCTGTCGATATAAGCTCAGATTGTGGTGACATAGCAACCATATAAAAGTCCCGTCGCATTTGTGATAGTTTGAGGTTTGTATCCGTATTTTCTAACACAAGTAGCTCTAATTCGGCATTCCAAGTTCTTGGAGGGTGACAAATATGTTTTCAGAATATTTATACCCTTCACCACACTGTGGTACAGGGTATTATGTCTTTGTGCATATGTTTGTAACAGGCAAAAGGAAACGAGATAGACACATGGTTCCTTTTGAGAATATGCATAGAATCACTTTTTAAGTCGATTTATGCATGTCCGTCCGTCCGTCTGTCTGTCTGTCTGTCCATGTATTTTTGTGAACAAAGTACAGGTCGCATTTATGATCCGATTTGAATGAAATTTGGCATAGGTCACTTATTCGGCCCAAGGACGAACCCTATTGAAATTGGGAAAAATCGGTTCAGATTTAGATATAGCTCCCATATATATATTTAACCGATTTAATGTAAACGGTCCCTATATATCCTTATATTTGCACGAAATTTGGTACAGCCTAATCATTTAGGTCTAGAATGATGCCTGCCAAATTTCGTGAAAATCGGTCCAGATTTAGATATAGCTCCCATATATAGTTTCGTCCGATTTCATGTAAATGGTGTACCAAAGTCCCTATATATATTTCGATTTGTACGAAATTAGGCATAACGTACTGAATTGATCCTAGAATGATGTCTGCTATGTTTCAAGAAAATCGGTCCAGATTTAGATATAGCTCCCACATATAGTTTCGTCCGATTTCATGTAAATGGTGCCCCAAATTCCCTATATATCTTTCGATTTGCACAAAATTTGACATAACGTACTGAATTGAGCCTAGAATGATGTCTGCCAAGTTTCGAGAAAATCGGTCCAGATTTAGATATAGCTCCCATGTATAGTTTCGTCCGATTTCATGTAAAGGGTGCACCAAAGTCCCCATATATCCTTCGATTTGCACGAAATTTGGCATAATGATAATGATTTAGATATAACTCCCTTTTATTATAGATTGATTTTAAGTAATTGACGCGACAAGGAACCAATAGGGTGATAGGAACAAAACGTTCTGAAATTAGTATAACCTAACCTGTGACAAGTTTGTGTGAAATCGCTTAATATTTGGATAGAACTTCCATATATATTTTCGCCCGATTTCAAGTTAGTCAGATTGACATCAAATTCTGCACAACGTACAAAATTGAGCCTAGAATTACGTAGTTGCGTTTTATAGAAGTACAGACATTCCCCAACGGATGACCTATTTATATTTGTTTGAAGTCGATTTACATACTTTTGTCCCATTGTAACATACGAATGACATGTTAATGGATAGATCTAGGTAGATTCACATTTAGATAAATATCACATATTTTATTTCATCCAATTTCATGTTAATAGTCCTGTTTAATATACCCATAGTGGTGAAGGGTATCATATAGTCGGCCCCGTCCGACTTTACTACTTTCCTTACTGGTTTTTAAATTGTCTTTGTTTTGCAGAAGGATATGATGGATGCCATAGGGCTGAGGGTATAGCCATATGGCTAATGAGGGTATATCCCCTGGGCTACTGCAAAAATGGGCCTTATCGAAATATTGTTTTTAGGCCCCGTGCTTCTTTGAATCAAATCCGTTTCAGACAATTTGGAGCCGATTTAAAAAACTCCGTCCATCTGTCTGAGTAACTGATTTCGGTGCATTTCTCCCCAAAAGGGGCCAACATGGTGAAAAGCGCCTTCGCTACTGTTTACAATAGTTTACAATAGTAGCTGTCTAGAGGATCGACCTATCGTCCATTGTCTAGGCTTCGGGAACGATGTTGGTATTAGGCATCAGCTTAAATGCCTATATCAGGCTTTAATGGAAATTCAAGGTCCACACCTATTAAAGGTGTAGATTATTTTAAATATTGTTTTCAAGGTCTTGTAATATGCGTATTTATTTGAAAGCATTTTTCATAGTTCCTTAATAGACATTTTTTGAATAGGTGTGGTATATTTCAAAGAATTGTTTTCAAGTACTTTCATAGGCGTGGTTTATTTTAAAGAATTAATTTGCACCCATCTCTCACCTTTACAAGGTGAGCATTCAGAGATTTGTAGATTCTGAGCCTACGTCTGATTGCTGCTACATACATAAAATAATCTATATTAAATATTTAATTGGCTTTAGATGCATGTAATGCAATCCGTCTTAACTAATTTAGATTTCTTGATTTATACTCTAGAAAATAAATCCATAAAATGGAACAACACATTTCCAACAAGTTCAGTTGCTTGCGAGGAGTGAACGACGCCTTGTCATGTCGCACTCGCGCTTAATATTCTTCGTACTGGTATCTGTACAAATTGCCGTAGTTCCAATTATAAGTCAGAGGTAATGTAATCATCTATGCAAATCCGGTTTGCGGTCGATGTAGAAAAATATTAAAAAATAATTTATTTATTTTTCTTCTTCTTCTATAGTCACTATTCAATAGTTGCTCCCGGCACCATACGTTCTAATCGCAATTATTCCATTTGTGTTACCCTGCATGATGCCTCCGAACCGGCCACACTACGTCTGACTATTCATTCCCTAACAAGTTCAATGCATTTAAGTCAAGATGTAACTTTGCAACCGCACCAAAGTCGTCTGATCGATTTTATGCCACCAAAACTTTACGATCAATTTCGATATGAGCTGAAGGTGGAGGGTATTAAGGGTGTAACGTTGAGGGAGAGTAAGGAGCTGTATGCCTCGGAATATGGTGGACCGAGAATTTATATTGAAAGTGATCGGGTGTATTATAAACCCAATGATATTGTCCAATTTCGAGTGATTATTCTCGATGAACATTTGAGAATAACGAAAATTGTCGAACCGATACGAATACACATTATGGTGAGTAGAAAGTCCGTGAATTTTTTTAAAAATATTTTTTTAAGGACCTATCCAAGGCGTGAATTTTTTTCTCTTTCAGGATCCGGAAAAGAACCGTGTCAAACAATACAAAGACATCAAATTGGATCGTGGCGTATTTGCGGGAAAATTCCAACTATCCCAGCAACCCATTTGGGGTGAATGGACCATATCGGTATTTATTAGTGGCAAATATAACATGAACCGGGATTATAACTTTAAAGTGGAGAAATATGTCCTCCCCAAATTTACTGTTCACATTGATAGCCCGGCGAATTTTGTCGAGAAAGAGCGCTTTATACCCGTCACCATATATGGCAAGTACACTTACGGTAAACATGTTGAGGGTATTGTGGATGCATATCTTGAGGATCAAATCGGTTATACAACTGGCAATATTACGGCCACCATTGGACCGGGCGAGGTAAAGGCGCTAGTCGTACTTGACATACATGAATTATCGTATGCCGCAAGGCTTTATATTCGCGTCAAGTTAAGAGAACGCCACAGCAATGTAACGGCGGAGGCCGATAGTCTGGTCCGTATTCAGAGAGATCCATATAATATATTTTTACCTGACAGCGGAATTGAGTTCTGCAATGGAAAACCGTGTCGTTTGAATGTCCATGTTGAGCACTGGAATGGTACGGCGGTGAAAGATTCGAATACCCCAATGGAAATGAATGTCAACGATGTGAAATACACATCGCCTCTGAATGACAAGGGTGTGGCCTCATTTCAAGTGGATACTGGAGATAATCGACGTTTTCGATTTTGGTATAAAGATGCTGTGCTAATTTTTCATAATTCATTTGTGGAGGAGCACAATCGTGTCTATGATAATTCGAATTGTAAATTAACGGTGCTGCCGAGGGGGTGAGTATATGGTTCTTTTAAAAGTTATGCCTTGTACGGGTCCCTAAAAAAATATTATTTCAAAAATCCACGTCTCTAAAAATATTAAAAACGAAAGAGATCCTGAAAAAAAATTAAAAATTTCATTATCCATTTCAGCTCAACGGACCTCAAGGATCCCATTGAGGTTGTAATCCATTCCGATGATTATATACCCTACATCACATATACACTTACAAGTCATGGTAATATAATTGATCAGAAATATGTTGAACTACCGTCCCGACAAAAATCCCATAAAATTACAATAAAACCAACAATTGTCATGGTTCCGCAATCATATCTCTTCGTTTATTATATTGTTAATGGGGATTTGCATTATTGTGAACACACCCTAAGATTACCCGAAAAATTTGAAAATGAGGTGGGTAAAGCATAATCAGCCTTCCATTGAACCTCTATAAATATAGTCATGTTTTTCAGATTTCAATTTCGGCTCCGCGAAATGTTAAACCCGGCCAAAATATCACCTTCAATGTAAAGGCCCAGCCGAATTCCAGAGTTTCAATTGTGGCTGTGGATAAAAGTGTTCTGATTCTAAGTTCTCGGAATTTATTAAAGAAGGATATGATAATGCGTGATTTACGCTTGGACAAATCCTACCGTCAACAATATCCCGATCCTTTGATATATGAATATACACCAGGACATACATCGGGTTTGATTATTTTTACCAATGCCAAATATAAAATACATAAATTTCGTAAGTATTCCCAGGGATATTTGGACACACACACACACACGAACATTTCATTTTGCATTTCAGATATTCCAATCGAGCCATGGCCATCCAATTTACCAAGCTACCAGCGGCAGGTGTTTCCGGAAACATGGATTTTTAAGGATATTGATGTGTAAGTAGGAAAAAAGTTGTACGGGTTCTTGAAAAGATATTATTTAAAAAATCCACGCCTTGTATGGGTCCTTGAAAAAATATTATTTAAAAAATCCACGCCTTGTATGGGTCCTTGAAAAAATATTATTTAAAAAATTCACGCCTTGTTCGCGTCCTTGAAAAGATATTATTTAAAAAATCCACGCCTTGTATGGGTCCTTGAAAAAATATTATTTAAAAAAATCCACGCCTTGTACGTGTCCTTGAAAAGATATTATTTAAAAAATCCACGCCTTGTATGTGTCCTTGAAAAAATATTATTTAAAAAATCCACGCCTTGTATGTGTCCTTGAAAAAATATTATTTAAAAAATCCACGCCTTGTACGGGTCCTCGAAAAAATATTTTTTAAAAAATCCACGCCTTGTATGGGTCCCTGAAAAAATATTCTTTAAAAAATCCACGCCTTGTTTGGGTCTATGAAAAAATATTCTTTAAAAAATCCACGCCTTGTTTGGGTCTATGAAAAAATATTCTTTAAAAAATCCACGCCTTGTATGGGTCCTTGAAAAAATATTCTTTAAAAAATCCACGCCTTGTATGGGTCCTTGAAAAAATATTCTTTAAAAAATCCACGCCTTGTATGGGTCCTTGAAAAAATATTCTTTAAAAAATCCACGCCTTGTATGGGTCCTTGAAAAAATATTCTTTAAAAAATCCACGCCTTGTATGCGTCCTTGAAAAAATATTCTTTAAAAAATCCACGCCTTGTATGGGTCCTTGAAAAAATATTCTTTAAAAAATCCACGCCTTGTACGGGTCCTTGAAAAAATATTCTTTAAAAAATCCGCGCCTTGTATGGGTCCTTGAAAAAATATTCTTTAAAAAATTCACGCTTTGTATGGGTCCTTGAAAAAATATTCTTTAAAAAATCCACGCCTTGTATGGATCCTTGAAAAAATATTCTTTAAAAAAATCCACGCCTTGTGTGGGTCCTTGAAAAAATATTCTTTAAAAAATCCACGCCTTGTATGGGTCCTTGAAAAAATATTCTTTAAAAAATCCACGCCTTGTATGGGTCCTTGAAAAAATATTCTTTAAAAAATCCACGCCTTGTATGGGTCCTTGAAAAAATATTCTTTAAAAAATCCACGCCTTGTATGGGTCCTTGAAAAAATATTCTTTAAAAAATCCACGCCTTGTATGGATCCTTGAAAAAATATTTTTTAAAAAATCCACGCCTTGTATGGGTCCATCAAAAATGTTTCTTTAACCAAATCCTCGCCTTGGATAGTCCTTGAAAATTTGTTCTTTAAAAAATCCACGCCTCTTGTTTTCTTTTTTTCAGAATTGAACCCAGCACAGCTTTGACATTTAAAGTTCCCGATACAATAACCACCTGGATAGTTCGGGCATTTTCGGTCAATGATGACACCGGCTTCGGAATGTTAGATGATAGCCTGGATATTGAAGCTTTCCAGCCCTTCTTCATCAGCGTTAATCTCCCCTATTCTGTAAAACGTGGTGAAATTGTTACAATACCCATAACAATTTTCAATTATCTATCCGATAAATTGGAAACTGAGGTTCGAATGTTCAACAACAAAGACGAATTTCAATTTATGGATCAGCAAAACCAACCGCTGACCGCAAAAGAAGATTTCCGAAAAATAAATATATACGCCAATGGTGGACGCAGTACCACTTTTACAATACGACCACAAAAAATCGGCGATATTGAAATTTACATCGAAGCCAGAAATTCAATAACCTCCGATACGGTTATACATAAATTAAAAGTTGAACCGGAGGGTATCGTACACAACACCAATGACGATGAGCTTTTGACGGCCACTTCGGATAAAACAAAGAAAAAGAAATTTGTTGCCAATATTCCCGAAAATATTGTACCCGATTCGGAATATTTGGTATTGACCATAAGTGGTGATGCCATGGCCACCACTGTGGAAAATCTTGATAATTTAGTGCAGAAACCCTCTGGGTGTGGGGAGCAAAATATGATTAACTTAGTGCCGAATATTTTAATTTTGGATTATTTGAAAATTCTAAATAAATTCGCAAACAAAACGGCTTTGGTGGAGAGAGCAAAGAATTACATTGATACGGGTTATCAACGTGAATTAACATATCGTCATCCGAATGGGGCCTATAGTGTTTTCGGGCCACACTCTAGTACTGAGAATAATTGGCTTACGGCCTATGTTACACGCTTTTTTATTAAAGGGCAAAAATATTCCGCCATTGAGAGCAGAATTATTGAAAGTGGTCTGACATATTTGAGTAATGAACAGTTGGATGATGGCAGTTTCCCGCATCGTGGATTTCTTTTTGATCCCTCACATCAAAATCAATATGGGTTTACTGCCTTCGTACTCCTGACATTTTTGGAGGATGCGGTAAGTAATAAGTCACGCCTTCGATAGACTCTATAAAAAATATTTTTTTACAAAATCTACGCCTTGGATAGGCCTTATAAAAAATCTTTTTATAAAAATTTACGCCTTGTGTAGGTTTGAAAAAAATAGTCCTTAAAAAACCACACCTTGTGTAGGTTCCTGAAAAAAATATTCTTTACAAAAATCCACGCCTTGTGTAGGCCCCTGAAAAAATATTCTGTAAAAAATCCACGCTTTTGTAGGTCCCTGAAATAATATTATTTAAAAAATCCACACCTTGTTTGGGTCCCTGAAAAATATTCTTTAAAAAGTCCACGCCTTGCCTGGGTCCCTGATAAAAATTCTTCAAAAAAATCCACGCCTTGTTTGGGTCCCTGAAAAAAGTATTCTTTAAATAATCCACGCCTTGCCTGGGTCCCTGATAAAAATTCTTCAAAAAAATCCACGCCTTGTTTGGGTCCCTGAAAAAATATTCTTTAAATAATCCACGCCTTGTTTGGGTCCTTGAAAAAATATTCGTTAAAGAAATCCACGCCTTGTAAAGGACCTTAAAAAAATATTCTTTAGAAAATTCACGCCTTGGATAGACCCTATAAAATATATTCTTTAAAAATCCACGCCTTGTGTAGGTCCCTGAAAACATATTCTTTAAAAAATCCTCGCATTGTTTGGGTCCCTGAAAAAAAAATATTTTAAAAAATTCCAACTGTTTTTTTTTTTTTTTTTTTGCAGAAATATTCCAAAAAATACAACCCCTTGATAGAGAAGGGTCTGAATTACCTGAAAACCAATTTGAATCGTGTAGAGGATGTCTATTCCTTGGCCATTATGGCCAATACTTTTCAAAAGGCTAGAAGCAACAACGAAGCTAATAGAATTCTCGAAAAATTGAAAAGATTCACCCGTGAAGGTGATGGCCTCAAATGGTGGACCAAAAATAATAAAAATGAAGAAAGTGCCAATGATGTGGAAATTACAGCCTATATTCTAATGGCACTACTGGAATCCACCTCCTCCTCCATGCAGTCGGATTATTTGCCCATATATAATTGGCTTTTAAAACAACGAAATAGTAAAGGTGGATTTGGTTCTACACAGGATACAGTGGTGGGGCTGCAGGCTCTAATTAAATATGCTGAGAAATCCGCACATATCCAAGCCACTAATGTGAAGGTCCAATATGTGGCCACGTGTAATCAGGGAAAGAACCGTAAGGAAGGCCTCCTTACTGTGGATGGGGACAATGAATTGATATTGCAAAAGGAGGAGGTAAGTTTAAGGAAGCCCCAAGATTTTTTTTTTAATTTTTAACAACCTTTCGTTTTTTATTTTATTTTAGTTACCACCCAATACCCGTTCCGTCGAAGTGGAAATTACAGGCACCGGCCGTGTATATGCCCAATTGTCATGTCAATATTACACGACCCAGCCTGCCGGGGGTTCTCCTTTTCCCATAATCCCAGAGGCCACAACCAAAAAAATGATATCCTTTCCACCACGAATAGGCGAACCAATTGCCGCTCCATCTATACCCGCCCTGGCATCAAACCTCGGCATTGGTCAACAAATTCCAATATCATCTACTTTGGTCCACGAATATTTCTCTATCAAGCCACAGGCTAAAATCACCTCATCCAATGATATGTCCTTGGAAATATGCTACACCTATCGTCCCTTTACCGAAGAAGAAAAACTTACCAATATGGTTATTTTAGAGGTGGCCTTCCCCTCAGGTTACATTGCAAATATGGAAAATCTTAATAGCTTACGTGATGAAGAGCAAATAAGTCGTATCGATAGTGAAAAATCGGAAACAATGATATCAATTTATTTTGAAAAATTGGAAGCAGATGATGAGCACTGCCTTACGGCAATAGCCGATAAGGTCCATGATGTGGCGGGCCTTAAACCGGCATGCATTAAAATGTACGATTTTTATAATGATAAACGGCGAACAACTATACTCTACGAATTGAAATAATGGTTCTGATTTAAATAAATTTTGATAAAAACAATAAAATACGCTGATTTTTTTTTTTAAATGTTGAGGTCTCTACTTTTTAAGGTCTATCCAAGGCGTGGATTTTTAAAGAATATTTTTCAAGGCCTATCCAAGGCGTGGATTTTTAAAGAATATTTTTTCAAGGACTATCCAAGGCGTAGTGTCTTTAAAGAATATTTTTCAAGGACTATCCAAGGCGTAGTGTCTTTAAAGAATATTTTTCAAGGGCCAACTGAGGCGTGGATTTATTAAAGAATATTTTTCAAGGTCTTACCAAGGCGTGGATTTATTAAAGAATATTTTTTAAGGTCTTACCAAGGCGTGGATTTTTTAAAGAATATATTTTCAAGGTCTTACCAAGGCGTGGATTTATTAAAGAATATTTTTTCAGGGACCCATACAAGGCGTGGATTTTTTAAAGAATATTTTTCAGGGTCTTACCAAGGCGTGGATTTTTAAAAAAATATTTTTTCAGGGACCCATACAAGGCGTGGATTTTTTAAAGAATATTTTTTCAGGGACCCATACAAGGCGTGGATTTTTTAAAGAATATTTTTTCAGGGACCCATACAAGGCGTGGATTTTTTAAAGAATATTTTTACAAGGCGTGGATTTTTTAAAGAATATTTTTTCAGGGACCCATACAAGGCGTGGATTTTTTAAAGAATATTTTTTCAGGGACCCATACAAGGCGTGGATTTTTTAAAGAATATTTTTTCAGGGACCCATACAAGGCGTGGATTTTTTAAAGAATATTTTTTCTGGGACCCATACAAGGCGTGGATTTTTTAAAGAATATTTTTTCAGGGACCCATACAAGGCGTGGATTTTTTAAAGAATATTTTTTCAGGGACCCATACAAGGCGTGGATTTTTTAAAGAATATTTTTTCAGGGACCCATACAAGGCGTGGATTTTTTAAAGAATATTTTTTCAGGGACCCATACAAGGCGTGGATTTTTTAAATAATATTTTTTCAGGGACCCATACACAAGGCGTGGATTTTTTAAAGAATATTTTTTCAGGGACCCATACAAGGCGTGGATTTTTTAAAGAATATTTTTTCAGGGACCCATACAAGGCGTGGATTTTTTAAAGAATATTTTTTCAGGGACCCATACAAGGCGTGGATTTTTTAAAGAATATTTTTTCAGGGACCCATACAAGGCGTGGATTTTTTAAAGAATATTTTTTCTGGGACCCATACAAGGCGTAGATTTTTTAAAGAAGATTTTTCCAGGGACTCATACAAGGCGTGGATTTTTTAAAGAATATTTTTCAAGGGACCCATACAAGGCGTCGATTTATTAAAGAATATTTTTTCTGGGACCCATACAAGGCGTGGATTTTTTAAAGAATATTTTTTCAGGGACCCATACAAGGCGTGGATTTTTTAAAGAATATTTTTTCAGGGACCCATACAAGGCGTGGATTTTTTAAAAAATATTTTTTCAAGGACCCATACAAGGCGTGGATTTTTTAAAGAATATTTTTTCAAGGACCCATACAAGGCGTGGATTTTTTAAAGAATATTTTTTCAGGGACCCATACAAGGCGTGGATTTTTTAAAGAATATTTTTTCAGGGACCCATACAAGGCGTGGATTTTTTAAAGAATATTTTTTCAGGGAGCCATACAAGGCGTGGATTTTTTAAAGAATAGTTTTTCAGGGACCCATACAAGGCTTGGATTTTTTAAAGTATTACTTTTTTCAGGGACCCATACAAGGCGTGGGTTTTTTAAAATATTACTTTTTTCAGGGACCTATACAAGGCGTGGATTTTTTAAAGAATATTTTTTCAGGGACCCATACAAGGCGTTGATATAAAAAATAGTTTTTCAATGATCGGCACATGTGTTTTGTTATAGATTGAATATTTTTTTCAAAGCTTTTTTTATTTATTTTTTACATATAATTTATATTGTGTATATGGGCTCCCACAGCTTTACTCCTTCAGCTCATAAAATATTCTCGCACGCCGCCTGTCATTATAATAATCATAGATTTCAATTATCGACGGTTTAAGTTCTCCAACATCTTGACTTTTATCCGCCACAAAGCTAAGGCATTGCTCCTCATCGGCCAACAGCTTTTCAAAATAAATTGCCAGCACTGTACCCGATTTCTGTATATCAATACGACTGATGATCTCTTCCAATTCCTTTAACTTCATAGTTTTTGCATTGTTCGCAATGAAGCCGGATGGAAAATTAATCTCCAATATAACCATATTGGTTTCCTTTTCCTCCTCGGTTTTTGGTTGATACTGGAAGCAAACGTCCAATGACATACTGACGCTTGAGGCGATTCTCCCACTGGCAGTAATATTGAAATAGGCGTGGAAAACTTGTGCCAATAATTCGGGAGTGGGTGGCGATTCGGTGGTATTTACAGCAATTGGTTGGGGTTGATTACTTGTGGGTGGAATGGATGTGGATTCAGCGGGGTGTGGTGCAACTGTTTGAGGTTTTACAATGATATCATTTGTGGGCAGGGTTAGATTCGATGTATAATATTGATAGGTCAGTTGGAGATAGGCACGACCCTGACCCATTACCTCAACTTCGACTGTTCGCACATTACCGGGGAGCTAAAAAAATAAAAGAAAGGAAACAAATAATTCAAGGTCTGTCAAAGTCGTGGATTTTTAACGAATATTTTTTCAAGGCCTATCCAATTCGTGGATTTTTAAAAGAATATTTTTTCAAAGGCCTATCCAAGGCCTATGGATTTTTTAAAAAATATTTTTTTCAAGGCCAATATACGGGCTTGGATTTTTTAAGGAATATGTTTTCAAGGCCTATCCAAGGCTTGGATTTTTTAAGAAATATTTTTTCAAGGCCTATCCAAGGCTTGGACTTTTTAAGGAATATTTTTTCAAGGCCCATACAAGGCTTGGATTTTTTAAGGAATATGTTTTCAAGGCCTATCCAAGGCTTGGATTTTTTAAGGAATATTTTTTATAGGCCTATCCAAGGTTAGGATTTTTTTAAGGAATATTTTTTCAAGGCCTATCCAAGGTTTAGTTTTTGTTAAGGAATATTTTTTCAAGGCCTATCCAAGGCTTGGATTTTTTTAAGAAGTTTTTAAAGAATATTTTTTAAGGCTTAATAATGTCCAGAGGTATCTTCCAAATCTTACCTCTTGTTTCTGCAGAATAATTTCATTGCCCGTCTCTACGCCGAAAATTCCCTCCTTGACAACCAGACCTTTCGTGTTTTTCGCCAAATAATGGACCTTCAATTGAGTCTCCAAACTATCACCCGCCTTACGCAATGCGGTATTATATTTTATTAAGGCCTGTAGACCCACTACCGTATCATGGGTTGAACCAAAGCCACCACTACTACGTCGTTGTTCAATTAACCAATTGAATATAGGTAAGGACTCCCTAAGGGATGATGGTGACGACTCCAGCATAGCCATTAGAATATACGAAGTCAATTCCACATCATTGGCACTTTCTTCTGTTCGGATATTATTGGTCCACCATTTGCGGCCCTGACGTTCCTTTGCCATTGATTTCAGTTTTAACAAAATCTCATTGGCATTGATGTTGCCAGACTTTTGAAATGTATTGGCCATAATCGCCATCGAATAAATGTCCTGCACATCCTTGTAATGTTTGTTTAAAAATTCCATTCCTTTGGCAATGGTACTTCGATATTTCTTAGCATATTTCTAAAATAAAGAAGATCGGAAATTTAGAAAAATTAATTGAAAAAAATTCTTTATTTCTTACCGGACTTTCCAGAAATGTCAATAGAACAAAAGCCGTAAAGCCATACTGATTTTGATGGGCCGGATCGAATAGGAAACCCCTATGCGGAAAGCTGCCATCCTCCAGCTGTTGTTGGCTAAGATATTTCAGGGCATCATCAATGACAACATTTTCAATGGCCGAATATTTTTGACCCTTCATAAAGAAGCGTGCAGTATAGGCGGTTAACCAATTACTTTCGGTACTTGAGTCGGGTCCAAAAACACTAAAACCACCATTCGAATGGCGATACGACAGCTGTTGCTGATAACCAATATCCAAATATTGTTTAGCCTTTTCCATCACAAGGTTGCTGGCATTCGCCGATATACCCTCCAGAGACTGCAGATAGTCCAGAATTAAAATATTCGGGGCCAAGTAAATCATATTTTGTTCACCACACCCTTTGGGTTTTTTAACCAAATTATCAAGATTATCCAAGGTGCTGCCCATAACATCACCACTAACTGTCAATTCTAAGAATTCCGAGCGGGGTACAATTCCCTTGGGTATATCTGCTGTGAAAATAGTTTTATTACTTTGCAGTTTGGTCAGGGACATAAGCGCCTCCTGTTTGTGGGTGTGGGCCACACCCTCAGGATCAACTTTTAATTTGTGGATTACTCGATCGGATATTAACCCATTACTAGCTATTATTTCAATATCCAGATCGCCAACCCTCTGGGGACGTATCGCAAATATGGTACTTCTGGCATTGTTGGCCGTAACATTCAATTGCAGAGATCTCTGTAACTGTCCTGCAGATGTATTATCTTCCTTATCTAGAAATTCAAAATCACCCTCCTTCCGTATCATTGTCACATTGCTATTCAGCTCATCCTTGAGATAATTGAAAATTGTCACCGGAATATTGACAGTTTCTCCACGCTTTACCGAATATGGTAGATTGATGCTTATGAAAAATGGCTGGAATGCCTGAATTTCTAGATTTTCTTCTAGCATGCCGAAACCGGTTTCATCATTAACCGAGAAGGCTCTCAGCTCCCAGGTTGTAACGGTGTCAGGAACCTTAACACTTAGCGGGGTATTCGGTTGGGTACTGAAAGGAAATAAAATCGAAATTTAAAATAAAGGTTAGTAAGAAAAGAAAAAAGAAGGATTCGGCCGACTATAAGATACCCTAAGCCACTTTGGGTATACAAAAGATGTTCTTCTCAAATGTTGCCAATCCGTCTTCGTTTACTACGTTTAATCTCCTTTTTCATGGGTTCATGGTTCGTTAGCTTCCACAGCTCTGCTTTACTTATTGTGTTGGGCCAGAATATTCTCCATATGAATATCTTTAACTTTTGCGTGATGGTGTTAGACACAATCCCCATAGGTTCTAGTTAGTTCGAAGTCAGCTTATTCTCTCAGAATGATTTCAATTTCCCTTTTTTAAGTAGTGCAGTTGATAGTGTGACAAATTACACAACGATGGGCCTCGGGTTCAAATCGCAGCGGAGGAGGAACAATTCTTTCAAAGAGTCTTTTTGTCGAATATTCGACAAAAAAGACACTTACATCCCTATTCGGAAATGCCACCGAGCCCCCTTACATTCTAATGTACAATGTCGTCATCAACACATGAGGATAGCATAAATAGGAATATCTGGAAGTAGCGCCACCTAGAGGAAGATAGTAACACTAACCGCTGTATATCACTCAAGGAGGCTTTGTTTCTAGATAACGATAGATGGCAGCCTCATCACCTAAGACTAGAGTTTATTCGTTGCAGAAAGAAACTACTTCCGGTTGTTCCTTTTTACTCTCGTTGGCCTAGTTCCTTTTGATTGATTCGTTCATCTAAATCATTCCGAACGATGGAACAAAAAGCGTCTACGTAACTAAATGAATAAGAGCGATCCAACAAATATCTGAACTGCTTTAGGAACGAGATTGCCCAAATTTATGTTATTGAATCAAATCCGTCCGGCTCTGACTCATATCTTAATAGATTCAACACGGTTTCAACCTGGATTTTGTACGACAATGTTTAGCTGAACCAGGGTCCGTGCTTCTGGGTGAATGACATTTATTCATCCTTAATAGGCCTTGTTTATTTAGGGGATCTCTCTTCTACCGTTGGACTTCTCTCTGTCTGGATATAGCGCCGCCTAAAGGAAAATCCTAACTGTTAATAATTTAATAAAGACACCAACCACTGCATACCATTCAGGGTGACGATTGATGGCAATTCCGTGCTTTTGGGTGAATGCCATTCATTTCTTCCTGATAGGTCCTGTTTACCTAGAGGTTCTCCCTTATATCGTTGGTGTAGGAATCCCATTCATGGGATGATATGGATGATTCCGGCGATGTCACCCAACTATATAATAAATCAACAATATACTGTTATGTCGTTAAATTATGAAATGGAGGCAGCATATTGCGGTTATCAGTGCGACATCCTGACATGTTTGAATACAGCATGGATCACTACTTCTGTGCGAATGTCATCATGCTTTATAAGCCTGTTGATTTAGGGGTTCTCTCTGTTGGACCTTTCTAACTCTCTCTATCTTTTTCAATATGAAGAAGGTATCTCCTTATGTGACGATGAGAATCCTATACATGAGATAATGGCGGCGATACTGGCAACACCATAGCCTCCTTATGTAAATCGTACACTGGTGTCGTAAGGAGTCACTCTGTCAAAGATCTCGGGGCGGCATTCTGACAGTTTTATAGGTTAGTCGAGAGCTGCCGGCCATCAACTTAAGAACATTGTTCCTACTTTCATATCTGCCACTTGGTAAAAGGCGACTTAATAAGCTGTCGAACGTTGTATCCAAAATTATTGGGGGTACTTTGGGGTCGAAATTTATGCATCATCGACCATATTAGTCTATAGCCTAGGTCACTCGTTCAGTGTGAATGTCATCCTGGGCCGGTTGATCATGTAGGTTTCTCCTTTCGTACCAGGATGGCGTGGATAATTCCTGTAATAGCACCCAAGCTGCCTACTTTTCCGGCTGCAGGAAAAAATGAGGTTTTCCAACGACAGGTTGAGTATAGCTGTTGAGATTTGAGATTACCATTAAGATTTCATTTGGGCCCAAAACTTTGGATGACTTATCGCTTTTCGAATGACATCTGCGATACCATAAATCATAAATTGATAAGTTCATTATTTATGACTACTAAAACTTGTCAATATTGGTACCCATATATATCAGAACCTCACAAATTCCGATATTGTGGGGAGCTTGGGCACATTTTGCAACCGTATTTCAACCGAATTGGCTACGAATTAATATTTTTGGTTCTTGGGAAGTTTGGGCGCCATTTTCAACCAAATTGGCTTAATGAATTGCCTCCATATAGAAGTCTCAATTGAGTTTAGAGATTTTGAATACCCAACTCATGGTGGAGGGTATACAACTTTCGGGTTGGTTGAACTTGACTACGTTTTTACTTATTTTAAAATTATTAACATTAGAGAACATGCACTTACATATCAAGATCCTTATAAAGCCATGTTTCGGGAAAATCGACACGATAATATGTGGGATCTAGTATACTTTTTTCGATTTCCACTGAAATTGTAAAACAAATTAATAGAAAATGTTATAAAATTCCATATCCAAAAATTCTATCTCACTATAGTAATATTTTTGATATTTGGCATTGGTCAGTATGACCAGACCCGTTTGAACATCGGGTGATAACATTAGGGCGCTCCCCTGCATTCGGGGTGGGGTATACGATTTATCATCCAACAGATCGTTCATAATGTGATCCTTTTGTAGAATATTTTTCGAATTCAGCAGAAGAACACTTTTATCCACAGCTGCTATAGAGACACGAGAATTCACAGCGGCTTTTAAGGTCAGGGTAATATTTTGACCTGGCTTGACGCGTGTCGGACCCACAAGGGATACCTAAGAGTTGTATATTTTATTATTATGTATTTCAGTGATATTCGGTGGACTTACCTTATTTTCAAATGTCTTTGGCAGATGTATTGTCAATTCACAATAATTAAATTGATCATTCACAATATAGTAGACGAAAAGATGGGAATTGGGAATCATCTCTATGGAGGGTCTTATTTTAAAGGTGTGAGATTTCGTGTTGGCAGGCAATTGGAGATTTTCCTGGCGTACAATATTTCCATGTCCCGTGAGAGTATACATGAGATATGGAATACTGTTCTCAGATGTAATCGTAATTTCCAGGGGTATTTTGAAATCTTTGAAGCTGGAAAGAGGAAGACAATTTTCAAAACCCAAGAAAAAAAAAATTCAACTCACACCCTTACTTATCCGTATTGGTTTGTAGAACACAATTTGTTGCCATTGGTGGTTCCATATCCACACTCGGATAACTAAGCTCCGTGTCTTTATACCAAAATTGAAAGAGGTCCGTCTCATCCGCCTCGACCTTTGTAAGCTTAAATCTGGCAACACCTTGATCATTCAACGGCAATGTATAATTACGTCCCTTAAACTGCATCACAACCGATGTGGATGGATCCCTAACAATGCTACCATTCCAATATTCCACATGAAGGCCAAGACTTCGAGGTTTTCCATTTTCAAAAGCAATTTCCCAGCTAGGCAACTTCAGGCGATACAGGGATGTACGAATTTGGACGATACGCTTATCTTCTGCTGTAATATTTGTAAATCTCTCCTCCAAAGATGCAATCAATTCTAAATTACGATCATAACGGTTTAAGCTCAATTTTTCCAAATCGATTTTAAGATCAACTTTTGCATCTTCATCAAGGGTGACACCCTCAGCAATGGTAATGCCTCTCGTGGTTCCGACAATTTTCACAGTGCCTTTAACATAACGCCCATATGTATATTTTCCGTATACTGTAATGGGTAAATAACGTTCGGATTCGACAAATTCCTTGGGTGCCTCGAGGTGTACACTGAATTTGGGTAGGACATATCGTTCCACTTGGAATCTGTATTCCTTATCCTTATTATATTTTCCACTGATGTGTACCAATATGGACCAGGTACCAGTTAGGGGTTGGCGGGATAATTGGAATTTCGAGGTAAATACGCCGCGATTCAGTTGTATGTCCTTGAATTGTTTTACGCGATTCTTAAGGGGGTCCTGAAAACATTATAAAAATGTTATTTTGAACAATATCTTTTTTTAGGGTCTAACCACGGCGTGGATCTTTTAAAGAATACTTTTCAGGGTCTAACCAAGGCGTGGATCTTTTAAGGAATAGTTTTCAGGGTCTAAACAAGGCGTGGATCTTTTAAAGGATAGTTTTCAGCGTCTATCCTTTTAAGGAATAGTTTTCAGCGTCTAACCAAGGCGTGGATCTTTTAAAGAATAGTTTTCAGCATCTAACCAAGGCGTGGATCTTTTAAGGAATAGTTTCCAGGGTCTAACCAAGGCGTGGATCTTTTAATGAATAGTTTTCAGGGACCAACACAAGGCGTGGATCTTTTAAAGAATAGTTTTCAGGGACCTACACAAGCCGTGGATCTTTTAAAGAATAGTTTTCAGTACCTACACAAGGCGTGGGTGTTTTAAAGATTATTTTTCAGGGTCTAACAAAGGTGTGGATTTTATAAAAAAATATGTTTTTAGGGTCTTATGAAGGTCTGGATTTTATAACAAATATGTTTTTAGGGTCTTATCAAGGTCTGGATTTTATAAAAAATATGTTTTAGGGTCTTATCAAAGTCTGGATTTTTTAAAGAATATTTTTTCAGGGTCTAACCAAGGCGTGGATTTTATAAAGAATATTTTTCATATTTGTTTCTTTAATACTTACCAATATCTGCACCCGTATAGGTTCCACAATTTTCATCGGCTTTAAATGCTCACTCAATATTATCACACGAAATTGTACCACATCACCGGGTTTGTATGTACCCTTATCAGCTTCTACATATATTCTTGGTCCACCCGATTCTTTGGGCGCCAATTGTTTACTTTCGCTAAAAATTAAACCTCTTATGCCCTCAGCTTTAAGTTTATATCTGTAGTTTTTAAATAACTGAGGTACTTCGAAGTGTACCAGTTGACTTTCATTTGGTCGTACGCTGATTTCATGACTCAGATCCAACGAACTATCTAGGGAGAGTATGCTAAGTTTTATGGTAATGGCCTCATCCTTGGTGGTTACATTGTGCACTGACACGGAGACGGTATAATTACGATTCGACCATATTGTACCAGGAGCTATAATTGTATAGTGGCTGGAGATGAATTAGAAAAATTATTATTAATATATGAGCTACGTGGTTGCATGTGCTCTTCTTACCCTTCACCATTTATTAGAGCTACGTAAAGCAGTAGAAATATCAATGCAATTGTCAGCCATCTGTTGCGTTTAAGCATGTTAGCTTATTGAGACTCTAACAACGACTAGCTTATTTTACAGCATATTCTGATAAGAAAAACCGATAGAAACCGCAGCGAATGTATTCCGCAGAGAACTGCATGCCCAACTGCCTGCTGAAATCACGATAGAGATCGCAATATTTGAACTAGAGCATTGCAAATTTAATCACGCTTAGCTACTAGGAGCTGCTATGAATGATATGCCATGAAAAAATATTCTTTAAAAAATCCCCGCCTCTGGTGGACTTTAAAAAAATATTCTATAAAAAATATCCGCCTCTGGTGGACCTTGAAAAAATATTCTTTAAAAAATCCACGCCTTGTGTAGGTCCCTGAAAAAATATTCTTTAAAAAATCCACGCCTTGTGTAGGTCTCTGAAAAAAATATTCTTTAAAAAATCCACGCCTTGTGCAGGTCTCTGAAAAGATATTCTTTAAAAAATCCACGCCTTGTGTAGGTCCCTGAAAAAATATTCTTTAAAAAATCCACGCTTTTTGTAGGTCCCTGAAAAAATATTGTCTAAAAAATCCCCGCCTCTAGTGGACCTTGAAAAAATATTCTTTAAAAAATTCACGCCTGGTGTAGGTCCCTGAAAAAATATTCTTTAAAAAAATTCACGCCTTGTGTAGGTCCCTGAAAAAATATTCTTTAAAAAAAGCACGCCTTTTGTAGTTCCCTGAAAAAAATTCTTTAAAAAAGTCACGCCTCTGTTGGTCCCCGAAAAAAATTCTTAATGAAATTCACATTTTTAAAATCGTATATTTTTTTCGTTACACTCGATTTTTTTATTTCAATTTTAATTATTTCAAATATTATAGTATGCCGTATCATGACGACTTATATTATAATAATCATACACCTCCACCGAGGCTGGTTTACGCTTTACGACATCGTCGAGCTTATGAAACAATTATCAATATTTGCTGATAGCTTTTCAGAATACACAATCAAAGTGGTGTCTGAATTTTTCAATTCAAATCGATTGACCAGTTCCTTTTTCAGCAATTCGTTGGCGTAATCTTCATTGGTTGTGAAGCCGTAGGGTAGATTGATCTCCATAAGTATTAGCTGTGTTGCAGTAGAATTTTTATCGGCACGATAGCTAAAACATATTTCCAATCTCAACAATTCCGGATTCACCAACTTCGCCTTGGGATTTATACGAAAATGTACGAATTTATCCTCCAAAATGGTGTTATAGTGATAGTACAACTGGACGAAAGCATTGCCCGAACCGATGACTTCAATGTCTATGCCACGAGTTGATTTGGGGAACTTAAAAACAGATAGAATTAGTTTTTGAAGGAAATATTTCCGATACACCACCTTACCTCTTCAGTTTGTAAAATTAATAAATTATTTTCATCCACCTGCAGTTCTCCGGATTTTACATTTTGTGTGCGGAAATCTTTCGCGGAATATTTTACACGCAAATTTTTCGTTTCCAAAGTATTATATTTCTCCGAATAGGCCATCAATGCCTGCAGACCCACAATGGTATCATGTGTTGACTTAAAGCCACCACGTTCATTGCGTTGTTCCGTCAGCCATGTGAAAATCTCTTGCTCTTCTCAAGCATTTCGTGTCGGATTTTCCAGTAACAGTGCCATAAGGACATAGGAAGTGATTTCAACATCATTGGCATGATCACGATCATTTTGTGACCACCATCTGCGTCCATCGGATCTTTGCTTTTGTTCTTCCAGTTTATCGAGGACTTTTGAGGCATTGGCATGTTGAGCCATTTGCATGGCCATGGCGATTATAGAAAGGACATAAATATCTGTATTACTCTCCAAATTATCGTTCAGGAACTTCAGGCCATACTTCTATTCTATAGAAGTAGGAAGTAGCAGGCCTTCTCCTGACCTACTTCTATTCTATAGAAGTAAGAAGCAGCAGGCCTTCTCCTGACCTACTTCTGTTCTATAGAAGTAGGAAGTAGCAGGCCTCCTCCTGACCAGTCCTCCTCCTGACCTACTTCTATTCTATAGAAGTAGGAAGCAGCAGGCCTCCTCCTGACCTACTTCTATTCTATAGAAGTAGAAATCAGCAGGCCTCCTGACCTACTTCTATTCTACTCAACAAAAATCTGGCCTTCTATACTTTGCAGGAATTGCTCACCTTATTCTCCAAGAATGCCATCAGAATAAATGCCGTACTACCATAACGATTCTGTTGAGCCGGATTTAAAAGATAACCTGTACATGGGAAACTACCATTCCGACGCTGTGTACTGGCCAAGTATGACAATCCCGAATCGACAATATGAGCCTCCATCACTGGTAAATATTTCGTAGCTTTGATGAAAAATCTCACCACATAAGCGGTTAGCCATGTACTTGGTTCTGCATCATTCGCCTGGCCAAAGACGCTATAGCCACCGTTCGAATGGCGATATGACAGCTGTTGCTGATAACGAATTTCAAGGAAATTCTTTAACTTGGTCATCAGCTCCTTTTCGGTGAAATCTCTTCCAGTGGCTTGTAGATATTGCAGAACTAAAACATTTGCAGCAAAATTCACAATATCCTCTTCTGCCGAACCCAAGGGTATTACTACCAAATCATTGAGGTTCTTGAGAGTTGGAGCCAATGGATCGCCACTTACCGAGAGTGTTATGACCTCTGATTGTGGCACAACATCATGGGGCAGGTCTATGTGGAAAGTAGTTCGTGTCGTTTCCTCAGACGAGCCATTGATATACAATGGCTTATGGCGCCGCCTCATTATGCCTTCCGGTTCTACACGAAGTTTACGTATTACTCCGTCTTCGATTTGCGAGCTGGTGGCGGATACCCGCAGACTTATTTCACCTAGTATTTTGGGCTGTATCAGAAACGACAAAGGCGCTGTCGTAAATGATAACAATTTTAGGCTTTGAACACATTTATTATCATCACAGCTGATTTTGGCTTCGCCCTGACCCGGAACCAACAAATCGAAATCTCCATCATCATTATAGAGGGTAATTTCCAAATCTAAATCTTCTTTGCGATAATTATAAGCCATGAGAGGTATGGTTGTCATATCACCACGTTTCACCGAATAGGGTAAATGGAGGCGTATGTAGAAGTCAAGATTGTTGGATATATAGGTGGGCCGATTTATTATGCCCAGGCCAGTTTTTTCGTTTAACGAAAATGCTGTTATAGACCAGGAGGTGATGGTGTCGGGCATTTTAAATTTCAGGTGGGTGATATTGTTGCGGCTGAAAAGTTAGGACAAAAGAAGGGATTATATTTTCAAGTGGAACTCACAAGGGTCGAATATGAAATAGAGGACCTAATAGAGATGAATATTCCCTATAGGATCTAGTCTTCTAGAATGTGGAAGACTCAATAGAAAAATAAGTAGTCCTGACCTACTTCTATTCCATAGAAGAAGTAGATTCGACTTACTTCTCTTCCACAGAATAAGAAGTAGCAGACTGGACGGGTCTATTTCTTCTTCTATAGAATAGAAGTATTCTATAGAAGAAAAAGTAGACCCGACCTACTTCTATTTTATAGAAGAAGAAGCTGACTGGACCTACATTTATTCTGCAGAAGAAGAAGTAGCTCTACATTTATTCTACAGAAGAAGAAGTAGACCTGCTTCTATTCTATAGAGGAAGTAGTATGCTCGACCTACTTCTATTCTATATAAGAAGAAGTAGCCCTTATCTATTTCTATTCAATAAATGAGAAGCAGACTGGACAACCTTGAATGTCCTGGTCTTCTAGACTATATAAAACCCTATAATGGTATAGTTTTCAGAACTTACATTTCGTAATTTTGAAAAATCCATGTATCGGGAAATCGTTGACGATATCTGAGAGGATTTGCTCTAGAAGGACTCATCGCAGCACGGCTAGACGTAGCAGGACTACCAGCTTTATTAGCTAAAAAGAGAGATATTTTGGAATAACAAATATTTTTGAAAAATCTGATTAGAAAAACTTACCACTAGCTGGCTTAAATTCATAATAGGCATTGGTAAGGGTAATAACACCGGATAGCAGACCCGGATAAACGGAAGCCGGAAAAGGCAAAGTGGAAACATCAGCTTTCATTGAAGCCAGAATTGTATCACGATTTAGATCATATGAGGGATCTAAAAAATAAACACCAATATCGACAGCCAATAGTCCGATCAGACTTCCAGCTTGAGCTTTCACTTCGAAAGTTACTTCCTGACCAGGTTTTGTTTCAGAGGGTGCAGTTATTTCAACCTAAGGAAGATGAAGTCGAAATCAATAAGGTTTCACCGTTTTACTTAAGTTACCTTATTTTCAAATTCCAGCGGTAGCTCCAGATCCAGTTCAGCATAATGCAGAATTCCATCCTGAATAAAGTGGACGTAAACATAGCCATGATTTATCATTTCTAGGGATGGTATGAGTTTTATTGTATAGGTCTTTTGGCCAGCAGGTACATAGATACGTTCGGCATGGATGATATTCGAATGACCCATAATTGTGTAAACCAAGTAGGGTATTTCCACCGAGGAGTTCACCACAATCTCCAGCGGTTCATGCAACCACGGAAGGCTGCAAATGTGAGGGAAAATTAATACAGGAAAGGAATCGACATGAGGCGCTGATTTTTCAATCCTCCATCACAAGGTTGATCAGAATAATATAATAAATGTCTATATCCGTCTGTTAATATCCCGATAGAGCTAACAATATTAAAGATTGTTAAGCGTCGTATGCTATTTTCAGTGCACCCTCTAGGTCCACGCTCTAGGTCTTGAAGAGGCTATAAAATAAAATATGTTCTACTTACGCATTCTTTTTTATTTTCAGGTACAAATATGAATCCGATTTGTCGGCCAACGAGTTATCGCCAATTTGGTTCGCTAAGTTAAAGGTAGAATTTCCAGAGCGGAATAAATGCTGAGCATTTGGATTATGCTCAAATTCAAACATGACCTCTTTACTTGAATTTAAATCGGCACTGTAATCCTTATCGCCATGTTGCATAATGATCGAATTTGATCTATCCAAAACCGCAGCTCTGTGCAGCCTATATTTCCGAACATGTATCACTTTCTCTTCTCGATAATCATATTTACCGCCTATAGTGACACGTATTTTCCAATCTGCCGTAACCGGATAGTGGGAAAGTTGAAATTCCCCGGTGTAAATGCTCGACGAGATGTCAACATCGTTGTAAAGGCGAACACGATTTATTTGACCATCCTGAAAATGGAAAGAGAGAGAGGAAACAGGAGTTATTTAATATTCTCGTCGCGTTACTTTATGAAACACGCAAGTTGTTATTAATCGATTTCGATATATGACACATAAAAACTACATTAAAAGCCTAAGAAGTGATATGCATTAATGAGTCGTTAAATTTCACTATCGATGCAGATCGACCCATAGATCTTTCGGAAAACTTTTTCTCTCAAACACTCCAAAAGCTGCCTCATCTGTTGGCGCAAGTACCCATGCTTCTGATCTATGTAACAGCACGGGTATTATCAGCGTCTTGTAGAGTGTGAGTTTGGTCTGGTGGCCTTGCTTTTGAATTGCTTACTCAGATCATAGTAGCGTCTGTTGGCCAACACTACTCTTCTCCAGATGTCAAAGCTGATGTTATTAGTTTTGTTTATGGCGCGGTATATAAAATCGTTCACTACCTCAAAGCTGTATTTTTCAAGAGCCGTATTAATTTTGCAGGCATGGCTTTAAACACCTCTGAGTAAAAATCTGGTCAAGTGCGAATTTGCCAGGCCTGAAGCCGCATTGGTATGGTCCAATAATTTCATTGGCCATTAGCTTCAGTCGTCTCACACAGCATGCTGGATAGAACTTTATATGCGAAGGAGGGTTATTCCTCTACAGTTGGCACATATCGTATTGTCTCCTTTTTTGTGCACAGAATGCTGATGTCCCAATCATTGGCCATGCATTCATCTATGCAAATTGTACTAATCAGCTGGTGCATGCTCCTGACCAGCATCTGACTAGTTTTGAATAGTTCGGCTGGTAACCAATCGGCAACTGTTGTTTTATTATTCTTCAGCCGACTACTTGCTATTCTGACTTCATATTGCATAGTGGTATACACACTATTCCGTCATCTCTTATTAGTCTTGGGTTATGTTCTTCATCGATACTCTTTGATACCAGAAGCTTTGTAAAATGCTCCTTTCAGATCCTCAACACGTTGTCTGTATCTGTCTCCAGTTTTCCTTCCTCATCCCTACAGTAGGATGTACCCGCACCATCTTCTCTCCCCTTTTCTTTCGAAAATTCTCTCTCGCATTACGTGTTGCTACTGTTTGCAATGTTACCATATATACTTCGTTCTTTTCACCTCAGTAGCATTACGATATCCTGATCGTACCATGGGTTTCTTGATGACGGTTCTTGGTACTCAATTGTTGCTTTTGCTGCAGTTTGCAGTCATTGCACCTTTGCTGCTACATTAAGGCGAGTGCAAACCTTGGCTCTTCAGTACTAGTACTTTAACCCTTTCAGTGTTTTTGTCGAATATATTCGACATTTAAAATTACTCTCTTTCTTTGTGATTTTTCGATTATTTTATGTACATTTACTATTGATCGTTTTGTTTTTGCTAAAAGACAGACGAAACTGACCGAGGGTTAAAATTAAAATTGCTATTTATACCCTTCACCACACTGTGGTACAGGGTATTATGTCTTTGTGCATATGTTTGTAACAGGCAAAAGGAAACGAGATAGACACATGGTTCCTTTTGAGAATATGCATAGAATCACTTTCTAAGTCGATTTATGCATGTCCGTCCGTCCGTCCGTCTGTCCGTCTGTCTGTCTGTCTGTCTGTCCATGTTAAATTGTAAACAAAGTACAGGTCGCATTTATGATCCGAATTGAATGAAATTTGGCATAGGTCACTTATTCGGCCCAAGGACGAACCCTATTGAAATTGGGAAAGATCGGTTCAGATTTAGATATAGCTCCCATATATATATTTAACCGATTTAATGTAAACGGCCCCTATATATCTTTCGATTTGCACGAAATTTGGTACAGCTTAATCATTTAGGTCTAGAATGATGTCTGCCAAGTTTCGTGAAAATCGGTCCAGATTTAGATATAGCTCCCATATATAGTTTCGTCCGATTTCATGTATATGGTGCCCCAAAGTTCCTATATATCTTTTGATTTGCACGAAATTTGGTATAACGTACTGAATTAAGCCTAGAGTGATGTCTGCCAAGTTTGGAGAAAATCGGTCCAGATTTAGATATAGCTCCCATATATAGTTTCGTCCGATTTCATGTAAAAGGTGCCCCAAAGTCCCTATATATCTTTCGATTTGCGCGAAATTTGGCATAACGTACTGAATTGAGCTTAGAATGATGTCTAACAAGTTTGGAGAAAATCGGTCCAGATTTAGATTTAGCTCCCATATATAGTTTCGTACGATTTCATGTAAATGGTGCCCCAAAGTCCGTATATATCTTTTGATTTGCACGAAATTTGGCATAACGTACTGAATCAAGCCTAGAGTGATGTCTGCCAAGTTTGGAGAAAATCGGTCCAGATTTAGATATAGCTCCCATATATAGTTTCGTCCGATTTCATGTAAATGGTGCCTCAAAGTCCCTATATAACTTTCGATTTGCACGAAATTTGGCATAACGTACTGAATTAAGCCTAGAGTGATGTCTGCCAAGTTTGGAGAAAATCGGTCCAAATTTAGATATAGCTCCCATATATAGTTTCGTCCGATTTCATGTAAATGGTGCCTCAAAGTCCCTATATAACTTTCGATTTGCACGAAATTTGGCATAACGTACTGAATTGAGCCTGGAATGATGTCTACCAAGTTTCGAGAAAATCGGTCCAGATTTAGATATAGCTCCCATATATAGTTTCGTACGATTTCATGTAAATGGTGCCCCAAAGTCCCTATATATCTTTTGATTTGCACGAAATTTGGCATAACGTACTGAATTAAGCCTAGAGTGATGTCTGCCAAGTTTGGAGAAAATCGGTCCAGATTTAGATATAGCTCCCATATATAGTTTCGTCCGATTTCATGTAAATGGTGCCTCAAAGTCCCTATATAACTTTCGATTTGCACGAAATTTGGCATAACGCACTGAATTGAGCCTAGAATGATGTCTACCAAGTTTCGTGAAAATCGGTCCAGATTTAGATATAGCTCCCTTTTATTATAGATTGATTTTAAGTAATTGACGTACTAAGGAACCAATAGAAACAAAACGTTCTGAAATTAGTATAACCTAACCTGTGACAAGTTTGTTTGAAATCGCTTAATATTTGGATAGAGCTTCCATATATATTTTCGACCGATTTCAAGTAAATTGGGCATCAGACTCCTCATGTTAGTCAGATTGACATCAAATTGTGCACAACGCACAAAATTGAGCATACAATTACGTAGTTGCGTTTTCTAGAAGTACAGACATAGCCCAACGGACTTATTTATATTTGTTTGAAGTCGATTAACATACTTTAAGGATAGATCTAGGTAGATTCACATTTAGATAAATATTACTTTTTTTCATCCAATTACATGTTAATAGTCCTGTTTAATATACCCATAGTGGTGAAGGGTATCATATAGTCGGCCCCGTCCGACTTTACTACTTTCCTTACTGGTTTTTCTAAACGCTATACCATTATATAATTTTAAAAACAAAATTTTAGATTTTTATTCCAACAATTTTTTTTCTTGACACTGAAAGGATTAACGTCGATTTCCTATTGCATTTTGCTTCCTATTATTCGCTCTGATTCTCACTCACCATAATTTCAATTCGTACAGGATCATCAATCTGAAAGGGTCTTGTGTGTTCATCCAATATTAAAACACGATATTGTACTTGTTCGCCCGGTCTATATACAGCCTTGTCAGTTTGTATGCATACTTTGGGTCCAACATTATGATGGGCAATTAAACACTTGACCACTACTAGCACCCTCAACGACTAGTTTATGAGGACCTTCAACCAACTTCTCTGGTCGAAAAATAACCGACTTAGTTTCATTAGGTTGCAAATAAACAACATTGTTCATTTGATAGTAGGGACCATTGATGCGAATATTAAATTTTGCCTGCTCCAGAGCCTCATGAAGCGTTACCACCACCGTGTAATTGCGAAAGGGCTTAATAACGCCGGGGGCAATAACCGAATAGTAGCTGCATAATAAATGATGTGATCAATACAATAAGCAAATAATCCTTTTCATGGTGGCTAACTTACCTTTCATTTGCACCCTCAACCTGCATGAAGAAGCCTAACACCAACACGAATAAGGTGAATATTTGCCGCATTTTATTCAAAAAAAAAATATTGTGCTACTTCACCGGCTGAATAAAGCCGGGCTTATGTTTGGTCCAAATGCCGAATTACAACTGAATGTGTAAGCGCTACAGACAGGTTTGTTTGTTCGCAATGTAAATTTTTCCCTCCATCCAGAATAAAACACAAAACAATGAAACTAAATTGGTGTTCTGAACTGGTTTGTTGAGAATGGTCAAGCATACAAACTACATTTATAATTACGACAAAGGATTTGATAATGCATTTGTAAGCAATTAGTATTTTTCATCGTCGTATTATGTATGTTTGGTAAACTGGATACTTGGTCTCTCTCTCTTGTGGCTCTTCATAATATTTGTTAATTCTACATTTAAATCTTCAAGAAAAGGAGTTTGAATGAGACACAGGAACAAAAAACAAACATTAGCCTTCAATGTTTTTCACATCAGTCTTATTTGTGCCCATGCTCCGACGGAAGACAATGATGAGTAGACCAAAGACATATTTTACGAGCGCCTAGAAACATCATATGGCCGCTGCCCTGGCCATAACATTAAACTTCTGCAAGAATATTTTAATACAAAAATCGGAAGGGAAAAATTATTGCTCACACACATAGAAAACCAGTAAGGAAAGTAGTAAAGTCGGACGGGGCGGACGGGGCGGATACCCTTTACCACTTTGGCTATATTCAAGAAATATATCCTAACAGACATTGAATTTTTGAAGGACCATTGACATGAAATTCGACTAAGTTAAATATGTGATCTGTGTCTATATGGGAACCGACTTAACCCAACGATCAATAACCGGATATATTTGTATAAAGTATATATATTCTTGATCAGCGTAAAATTCTATGACGATTTCTGAAGGTCCGTCTTTCTGTTTTAATCACTCTAGCGTCTAAACAAATTGAGATAGATCGCCAAAATTTTGCATAAAGTTGTCTCTTGTCTGCAGGTCCGAAGATAAGCTTTATCGGTCCACGTACCAAATGTCTCTACTAAAAATTATAAGTATCGGTCCACTTTTTCGGGTAGCCCCCATATAACGGTTAACCCAGATCCATTTCGATACGTTGCGCGTAATGTTGTGCCAATCGAACACACTTTAAATCTTTGGTGCACCATTTGCGAAAAATTGGACGAACATGTATATGGGAGCTATATCTAAATCTGAACCGATTTCAATAAAACTTGGCACACGTTAGTTTATCATAACTTCAGTACGTTGTGCAAAATTTCGTGCCAATCGACCTACATTTGCCTCTTTGGTGCACCATTTGCGAAAAATCGGGCGAACATATATATGGGAGCTATATCTAAATCTGAACCGATTTTTCCCAATTTCAATAGGGTTCGTCCCTGGGCCAAATAAATGGTCTGTGCCAAATTTCATCTCATTCGGATAATAAATGCGACCTACACTTTATTTACAATTTAACATGGACAGACGGACAGACAGACATGCATAAATCGACTCAGAAAGTGATTCTATGCATATTCTCTTTTGCCTATTACAAACATATGCACAAAGACATAATACCCTGTACCACAGTGTGGTAAAGGGTATAAAAACCAGCCTACACAAAGAAACATCCGGCAACGGCTGATTGACTTTGTAGCTAAGATTCAAGCATCTCGATATACACAAGGCCACCTGGATTTCTCCCGATCGAACAACGAGAATTCAAGTTGATCATATTGTGATAGACGGAAGGCATTCATCCAGTTTTTTAGACGTTCGATCGATCCAAGGAGCGAAAATCGAGTCGGACCACTACCTTGTAGCAGCTAAAGTTCGCACTCGTCTTAATATAGCAGCAAAGCTACGATCTAACACAACACGGAAACTCGACATCGAAAAGCTGCAAACATAACAGTAGCAGATGCCTACTTCGATCAACTTACCCTTTTGCTTGACGAAAGCACTCCTTGTCCCGATAATAATATGCAGGGTGCTTCAAAAAAATGAATACACACTTTAAACTATTGTAGTTTTCCCGCTCTATAAGGCTAATTTTATATATCTTCGCCAGGTGCCAGCGTAATATCAACATGGGGATGTACGAGCTTACATGGATCAAAATTTGTCGGGCTAGTGGATGGGACGCAGAGGGCTAATGGAGGGGAAGGCCACGAATTCAATGGAATAATCAAGTGCAAGACAACAATTCGAAATCTTTCAAATTAGAAGAGCTGCGCACAAGACCGACACGCCTAGAAATAATTTTTAAAATCGGCTTCTGGAACAAATGTTCTGTTTCAAGCCAGCTAAGTGAGTAAGAATTCTTAAAGGGTGAGAAACATATTTGCAAAATATTGCCATGTAGGTTCATGTTTTAACACATTTCCTATATAAAGGATATCCTCCCGCTTTATGTTCTGTATGCCAAAGTTCCTAGCCCAGTTTTCCAACCTGAGTATCTGTAATGTAATGGGCATAGCTTTCTCAAAGCATAAACAAACTGCTAGCAGAAAATTTACAATAAGAAAGTCTCAATATAAAGGTCCCGACCTTTTTAAAAATTTTTGAATGCACATCACATGGGCCCGACAAACTCAGCGAGGTTTTTACTTGCTTAGTATACCCTCCAGCATAAGTTGGAGTGTGTAATAAATTTGTCATTCCTTAGGGCCTGACGGCATCTCAATGGTCATGCTCAAACATATCGGCCCAGCAGCAAAGTGATATTTAGCACACATTCTCACTCTTTCCATCAATCAATCAGTAATACCGGAGGTTTGGAAGATGGCGAGAATTATCCCACTGCCAAAACCGGACAAATAAGCTAATCGGGGAGATTCATATCGGCCTATCTCCCTTCTGTCACCACTAGCGAATGGTTTGGAGTACCTCCTGCTGCCATCCATGACGGGGAACCTAAAGCTTAGAAGACAGGCAGACATATGTTGAGTTCAGGGGACAGACGTCGAAGAGCCTCAAAATAAAAAATGGGCGTCACGTAAGTAGATGTAGTGAAAATCGAAGACAAAATCAAACCCTACTTGTCTTCGGTAGTCACATTCTTTCAGGGTAGAAACTTGCAGATTTCTCCATCTAAACCAACCTCCACTATCTTCACATCGTGGGCAAAGGAGATCATGCGACAATTAAACTTATCGACTAAGGACCATTCCAACGGTCAGAATCCTAAAATACTATGAATCACCTTGAAAGCCTCCTGATTCTCCAGGCACACCGCAGCGCTGAAAATAAAAGTTTAGAATAGTAAAAGGGTGCTCAAAGCCATATCGGGAACTACATGGGACATGGAGGCCGCTTACAAAGTTGTATGTATATCGGTCCTCAACTTTGTTCATTAGCAATTCGCAATGGAGAATGCTTCAAACCACACAGAATAATGTACTACGTACGTATCGCATTCTGTCAGTGTAGCAACCAGACAGTTTCTGCTGGCATGCCATCTGCCCACGCATCCTGGTGGATTCATCCACACGACATATCCGGAAGGACATCAAGCGAGAACTGTTCACACTCAGACCAGCAAACTGTCAATGAGCATGAACCAAACCGTGTCCTTAACTGTCAACCTCCAGCGGTAGCCGAAGGTGAGAAGACTCTGCCCAGAAGAACCAAAACTATCTTAGCGCAGCTTTGGTCAGTCGTCCTAAATATGTATCAAGCGAGAGTCGCCGGGATGGAAAACATTTATTTCACATGCAGGCAGGGCCCGTATGATACAGGCCATTTATTTTCATGTCCAGTTCAGCCGACGGATCTTCGTCCTATTGGTCTGTGGCTGAGATCATTTTTACAGCTCAAAACCTAACATTATACCACCAATCCCATCACTAAATTTCGAGTTCTCAATAGGTTCCAAAAATTATCAATATCGTTCTAATTTCATTTATTTATTCTTATTAATATTACAGGATTATTACAGTTCCTATACAGATTTCTTAAAAATCGGAATCGTTAATTAAATAAATGGGTGTATCCACAATGCCGAGGCCAGTTTTCTCATGGATTGAAAATGCTGTTATAAACCAGGAGTTACTCGAATTCGGCATCACAAATTTTAATAGGGTTGTGCTGTTGGTACTGAAAATATTTGCAAAGAAAAAAAGGGTATTTTATAAAATAGAGATCCTCATAGTGAAAACTATTCCCTATAAGATCCCATCTTCTAGAATATGGAAATCAACATAACGATTTTAGTTTAGGAGTTAAAAAAAACTTACATATCATAATTTTCAAAAATCCATGGGTCCGTAAGGAATGGAAGAGAATTTGCGCGGTATGGACTCATCGCAGCCGGAATGGCAGTACTAGCGGGAATAGTGTTTGATTTATTGGCTAAATAGAAAACAAATTTTAATATTGATATATTTGCAAGAAATAAATAATAATAAAACACTTACCACTATCTGGCACAAACTCATAATGGGCACTTGTTAGGGTAATACTACCCGATAGCAGACCCGGATAAACAACAGCTGGGAATGGCAATGCTGAAACATCATATAACATAGATTGCAGAATACGTTTACGATTGAGATCATGTGATGGATCGTATGTATGTATGCCAACATCGACAGCCAATAGACCGACCAGACTATCCGGTTGAGCCTTCACTTCGATAGTAACTTCTTCACCCGGTTTTGCTGCACTGGGTGCACTTATTTCAACCTAACAAAATTGTATTTCAATATATATATATACATATATTTTTTTGATATGGATTGACTCTACCTGATTTTCAAAATCCAATTGCAAAAACAACTTCAATTCCGCATAACGCAACTTGCCATCTTGAATACAGTAGACATAAACATAGCCACAGCATATCATTTCCAGGGTTGGTATTATTGTTATGGTTGGGTTTTTTGGCCGGCAGGTACTTCAATGCGTTCAGCATGAAGGATATTCGAATGACCCATAACTGTTTAAATCAGATAGGGTATTTCCACGAAGGAGTTGACCAGAATATCCAGGGGTTCATTCAAACGGGGAAAGCTGGGAATAGGAAGGCAAAGCGAAACGT